AAAACAATACAGCAGAAGTGTAGTTCAGAAAAGGAAACGATAACAGAACAGAATTACCAGAGAAAGGAGGAGGAATAACAGAAAGGAGAGAGAGACCAATTACAATCACACACTGTTTTCCACTCATTGCATGCACATGCATTTTATCCCTCTTGCCCCTCTCGTAACTTCCACGTGAGTGTTCTTGGACGAGTGCTTCTACGCAAAGCAGCCAAATCCGTGTGACCGTCATTGGGTATCGCCACGTCATGGTTCAGCTCACCACTCATCTGCTGACTCGATATAGTGGACGTGACATTGCCCTCCCCAACGAGCGTGACCTTGTCCCCAAGGTCAAAAGCAGGGTAATTATGCAGGAAAGATTGTAAATCCTCCCACGTAGGCTCAGAAATACCCTCCCAGCGGATTAACGCCTGCGTGACAGAAGAATCACCGTGTTGAACTTGTCGCGTTTGTAAAACTTCCAAAGGTTGAACTTGAGGGCCATCAACATCTGCGAGCAACGGAAGTGGTACATAGGTCGAGGTGACATCCCCATAACATCGTTTCAACAAGGAGATATGGAACACTGTGTGAATTCGAGCACTTGGAGGAAGTTCAAGACGATAAGCGACAGTACCAATCCGCTCAATGACCTTGAAGGGACCAAAATATTTAAAACCCAGCTTCTGATGTTTCCGTAATGCAACAGAGTGCTGACGATATGGTTGCAGCTTGACCAACACAAAGTCTCCAACCTGAAATATATCCTCCCGACGGTGACGGTCTGCATAACGTTTCATACGGTTCTGGGCACATTGTAGATTACGCTTGAGAGTAGTGAGGAGTAAATCACGTTCACGCAGTAAAGCATGTATGTCCGGAGGTGTATCAGCTGAGGTGTACCCACGAACTAATAAGGGTGGTTCACGGCCATAGACAGCCTTAAAGGGTGTCATGCCAATAGCCGAGTGAAAAGAGGTGTTGTAGCTAAACTCAGCCCATGGTAGCAGTTCTAACCAACGCTTAGGACACTCCTGGACAAAACATCGCAAGTACATTTCGACACAACGATTCAATGCTTCAGATTGGCCATCAGTTTCTGGATGGTAAGCTGAACTCATTTGCAACTGAATTCCTTGAAGCTGGCATAAGGCACGCCAAAAGGAGCTTGTGAAAACTTTATCCCGATCGGATACAATTGACTGTGGCATTCCATGCAGACGTATAACATGGGAGAGAAATACTTCAGCTACTTGTTTACTAGTGTAATGGGCACTCAAAGGTGCAAAATGTGCATACTTAGAAAGGCGATCTATCATCACCATGATTACTGTATACCCACGTGTAGGGGGTAAAGAGGTGATAAAATCCATTGCCACGGAGTCCCATATTTGTGATGGAATTGGAAGTGGGCAAAGAAGGCCAGCTGGAGAAATCTGAGCTACTTTGGCACGCTGACAAGTGAGACATTCTTTTACGAAGACTTGAACGTCTCTTCGCATAGTGGGCCAATACACATTAGCGGCTAAACGGCGAAATGTTCGAAATGCACCGGCATGACCTCCTATAATCGATGCATGGAATTCTTGCAAGATACGTTGGACTAGGTGTGAATCCTCATGAGGCACCACCACTCGACTCTTGAAATACAAGACACCTTCCATGACTTGGTAATTAGGATAAGAACTTGGTTCCTGAAGCACTTGAGTGCGGAGTCGCTGAAGTCTATTTGACTGACGAGCTGCCATGATTATGTCATCAAATAATGAGGAGTGGAGTTGCTGTATGGCCATATAAGTCACTCTGGACAGGGAATCAGCTGCCAAATTTGTTTTACCTGGTCGATACTCAATGGCAAACCTGTATCCTAGTAACTTGGGTAGATAAAGCTCTTGTTCAGGGGTCTGAAGAACCTGCTTATCAAGGTGTTTAAGGCTCTCTTGATCAGTGCGAATAACAAAAGGGTGACCAAACAAATAATGTCGAAACTTTGCCACAGCCTGCGTGATAGCAAATAATTCCCGAACATAGGCTGACTGAGCTTGCATTTGAGAGGAAAGTTGTTTCGAGAAATAGACAATAGGGTGTCCATTCTGACTTAATACCGCCCCAATCGCACACCCTGAGGCATCCGTTTCAACCACAAATGGCAAAGAAAAATCTGGGAGAGCCAAAACAGGGGCCTCGATCAAAGCTTTTTTAAGCAAGTCGAATGCCGATTGTGCCTCATTAGTCCAAATGAACCCATTTTTCTGCAATAATCGAGTTAAGGGCTGTGCTATCGAAGCATATTTATGAATGAATCTTCGGTAGTATTCGGTCAACCCAAGAAATCCCCTGAGTTGGGAGACATTTACAGGTGTTGGCCATTGTTGTACTGCTGCCACTTTTGAAAGATCCATAGACACGCCATTTGCCGCTACCACATGACCCAAATATTCAATTTGTGTCTGGCCAAAAGAACACTTTGATTTCTTTGCATATAATTGGTGAGCAACTAATTGCTCTAGCACTAACCCAATATGTTCGAGATGCTGAGACCAAGTGGCACTGTATATAAGAATGTCATCAAAAAATATAAGTACAAATTTGCGTAAATAAGCTTTAAAAACAGAATTCATCAAAGCTTGAAATGTAGCAGGAGCACTGGTGAGGCCAAATGGCATGACAAGCCATTCGTACAATCCTTGATGAGTTCGAAATGCCGTTTTGTCTCGGTCTGCTTCATGCATCCGAACTTGGTGATAACCAGCACGAAGATCAAGCTTTGAGTAATATTTTGAGCCACCTAACTCATCTAAAAGTTCATCCACTGTTGGCATAGGAAAAGAGTCTTTTACTGTGACCGCATTCAGAGCTCTGTAATCAACACACATTCTCCAGGAACCATCCTTTTTCTTAACCAAGAGTACAGGCGCTGAGAACGGGCTAACACTTGGCTGAATAAATCCATCTTGTAACAACTCTTCAACCATACGTTCAATTTCTGCCTTTTGACTAAAAGGATAGCGGTACGGGCGGACCTTAACAGGCCCTGTTCCTGGTTGTAAAATAATTCTGTGGTCACATTCCCTTGAGGGTGGAAGCTCGTGTGGGGTCTCAAAAACAATTGAGTATTTAGAAAGCACAGTATCCAAATCTTCTTGCAATACGTCGGACTTGTCAAGACTTAATAAACTTTCCAAGGCCATCATCTGCACCAGATACACTTCACTGATGCCTTTTGTCATATGAATTCGATGAAGTTGGTGGAGTTGGGTCATCTCACACCTAGCATCCTTTTGCCCTTTTAAAGTGACGAAATTATTATGGGCCAGAAACTTGATTGTGGCATTACTATAGTCTGCCACATGTGGGCCAAGGGTAGCAAGCCAATCCGAGCCTATCACAATGTCTGATCCGGCTATCTCAAGGACGTATGCAGAAATCAAAATCACTTGTCCACAGATTTGGACTGGAAGTTCCCTTACCAAGCCCAATCCTTGCATTAATTGTCCATTTCCTACCAAAACCTTCATGGACTTAATTGGCTCCACCGGTACCTTGAGGTGTTTAACTACTCTGGGATGAATATAACTATCAGAACTTCCGCCATCAAGCAAGACCTGTACGGACATGCCCTTGACTATCCCAGAGAACCGTATTGTAGTTCGCCCTGCAGTCCCATTATAAGCCTGTAGTGAGATGTGATGGTAGGTAGCTGTGTCCTCTATTTTTGGCGTATCTGTAGCTGTAAGGGACGGTGGGGACTCCGGTTCCTCTTTATCATCTTCATTTTGCAACCACATATATTGTCGATTCATGCATTTGTGATTTGGAGAAAATTTCTCATCACAAGTGTAACACAAACCTTTCTCTCGCCGGATCTGCATTTCTGCGGGTGTAATTTTACGTACAGCCGTCAATGGCTTAATATTGGGTGTGGGCAGTAATGGAACAGTCGATGGTTTAATGAAAGACGACCCCGCAACAGCCGTCGTTGTTGTGACAGGCTTATTTGATAGAGGGACGGCATTTCCAGCCACACCAATGTGTCCCTTGCCCTTGCTTACCCAATTTCCCAGATGGTACTTCTCATTAAACAATCGAGCTAGGCTTACTGCCTTCAATAAATTTCCCGGAGAACGAGCAACCACTTCTCGACGTAACTCTGACTTAAGACCCCCAACAAAACAATCCAAAAGAGCGTCGTCCGTCACTCCTTCAGTTCGATTAGCAAGAGTCATAAATTGTTGGTGGTAGGAGTCCAATGAATCTGTCTGAGTAAGCTTGAATAACTGTGATCTCGGATGTTCGAATTGCGTAGGGCCGAAATGAGCTTCAATAGCTTGGGTGAGACTTTCCCATGTAGTTAGTAGGTTCGATTTTAGCATCATCTGGAACCAGGGTATTGCCGCTCCATCCATATGAATTGATGCCAAAATAATTCTCTGAGGCGTGGTCATCTGATAAAATGCGAAGTACTGCTCTGCACGGAAAATCCATCCATGGGGGTCAGTGCCATCAAACCGAGGGAAATCGATTTTTACCTGTCGCTGATTCATGTAGCTGTTCGCTCCGCTTCCTCCATCTGAGCTGCCAATTTGCAACACCTTGCGTGCTTCATTATCTCTTTGTGTAGCCTCAACCATTCGAACCAGAGTCTCAACTCTAGCTTCAAGTTTCTCATGCCGAGGATTGGGTTGTCGCACCAAATTCTCTATAGTGGCCTCAAGCTTATCAACTCTAGGATTTGGAGCTCGGAGGAAATCACCAATAGCCTTCTCCAAGCGCTCCAAACGTGAATTACTGGCAGCCTCTGTTCGTTCTACTAACTCACGCATATTCTTGCTCTCAGTCTCTGTTCTCTCCACAATGTCGCGCATGCACTGCATATCAAGCTGCAGACTCTTCAGGTCATTTGATAACTCCTTCAGCCTCGTATTCTCTGCCATCGTCTCTCAACGAAAGCACCTTGTCACACCTTATCTCAGGAAATAAAATGAATACAACAAAATATGGGAAATTCTTCTGGTATTAATCAGTAAATTGCATTGCGAAGTTCATCAGAAAACAATACAGCAGAAGTGTAGTTCAGAAAAGGAAACGATAACAGAACAGAATTACCAGAGAAAGGAGGAGGAATAACAGAAAGGAGAGAGAGACCAATTACAATCACACACTGTTTTCCACTCATTGCATGCACATGCATTTTATCCCTCTTGCCCCTCTCGTAACTTCCACGTGAGTGTTCTTGGACGAGTGCTTCTACGCAAAGCAGCCAAATCCGTGTGACCGTCATTGGGTATCGCCACGTCATGGTTCAGCTCACCACTCATCTGCTGACTCGATATAGTGGACGTGACACATAGATTGCTTAAAAATTAATCTCCCGCCTTTCTGCAAAGAATTTCCCCGATACAGGTTGGTCAGGAAGAAGGGCAAGCCAGACTCCAGTATCAGCTCCTTCCTCAGCTGTAATATTTCCTGCATAACCTGTAAGAGCAGTCTTCACCCAGCCAGGGCAGTAGCAGTTGATGTAAATCTTCTGACCTTGGGGTCGCTCAGGAAGCTTTCTTGCCATGAGTCTTGTATAAGCATTGACTGCAAGTTTTGACACTGAGTAGTCGGTAAAGGTTTGAGGCCACCCATTTGACGTCCAGGTTCCATCTTCTACTTGTTGTAGGAAAGTGGACACAGTCCTATCAATCAGTTCTTCCGAAAGAGATTCCTCGTCACTTAGTTGCTCCCTCAAGGCTACATCACTGATTCGCTGTCGCTCAAGCAACCAATAATCAGTTTTTTCCCACCTCTCTTTTGGTTACAATCTGTAAAAAGGTGTGCGGGGAACCAAGGGCTCTATTGTACTTCAAAGCAGCTACAACAAATTGAAAGGCTGTACTATTATTTGAATTTTTCAGTCTCACATGTCAATTAAGGGAAAATGGAATATTGGAGTGACCATAGGAATTTTGCTGATATGTGTCATAAAGCGTAATGCTTCTCTAACACTTTCAAGTTTCAACCTTGTTAAAAGTTAATTTGAAGTAATATTAGCAAATTAGAAATAAAGAAATTTACGGATTTTAACATACAAGAACAAGGATATCTTTGTAGCGAAGACATGTTTTAGTTTAGTCCCAATAATGACAAATTCTGAATTTGAAAAGGGGGAGCAACAACAAGAAAATAGCAAATTAAATTTACCAGAAGAAAGTGTTAACGAGGGAAGGAATAAAAGATGAAGATAAACTTTGCTTCAGGATTTATCACTAAAAAAAAAAAAAAAAAAGAGGCACAGCATTGTTTACATACACACATTATATACACAAACATTTAAGTCTGTATATAACACGGAAAAGGTGTATTTTCAGGAAGCAACGTAAAGAATTTTCACTTACATTACGTCTACCATTTAGTCTACCGAGACGCGAGCTCACATTTACAATACGAGCACCAGCAGTGGAAGGCTTCATCAATGGGATCATAGTTTCAGTCATGCTCTTAACGCCATAGTAATTTGTTTCAATAACCTTAAGGGCATTTTCAACAGAGTTATCAAACCCAAGATTGAAATTAACTCCAGCATTGTTTACCTGCAGGTGATAATATTATTTAGAAACATAAATCGAGGGCCTGTTCTACTTCTAGCTTCGACTAAAATTTATTGTGTTCGATTAGAATTTCATGGTTAGAAAGTATTGATATATAAATATATATCTCTAAAGTAAAGATAACACATATAATGCAACATAAAAAGACAGTAAAGATTGAGAAGATGAAGTAGAAGCAATTAGAATGTATAAACAACTATAAAAATGCCAAGATCAGTTAGTTGGTCAATGCTTGAGCTGAAACCAGATTAAATATATGTATATAATTAAAAGAAAAAACTTGAAACTGACCAGAATATCCAAACCAGCATAATTTTTCTGTAACCACTCAGCAAAATGGTAGATGGACGAAGAATCTAAGACATCCAGCTGATGTGAAACTACGTTAAGACCACCTTCTTGCAAGACCTTAGCTGCCTCACAACCAGCACCCGCTTCCCTTGATGTCAATATAACAGTCAATCCGTGTCCAGCAAGTTGTCTACAAATCTCAAATCCAATACCTCTGTTTCCACCAGTAACCACGGCAACTGTTTCCTTAGACCACCACCTATCATTATGCAATAATAAAAAATATATATATATAATGCCATGAACTGCGGGACAGATTCTGAATTATTGTGAAGTGTAAACAGAAATCATGGTTTAAAAAAATACAAACAGCTATAGTTGCACGCCTGCTAGTGCCAATATTCTAAGGTCAAATTCAATTATCCCATTAGACAGACATGCGGACTTCTTCTCCATTTAGACGAGATACTATATTACTTGATCGAGGAAATGACAAGTTTATACATCCAAAACATTCTCCTTTTCAAGTTTTGCCAAGTTCCAACCCTTACAAGTTTCACTGTCCCTTAAATTTTACCACTCGTAAAGTCGTAATGCTGTTTGTCCTATCAGCTCTATTAGAGTATGAGTTGTTGGTAGATTTTTCGGAGTTAAAATCCAGTAAATGTTGGTTTTGGCCTTTTCGGCACTGAGCGATCATAAATCCAACAGCGAGAAGGCACAAAAATTGACTTCTTCTGAAAAGGTAAGAGAGTAAAGGAGCAAAATATCCAACCTCTGGTGATCAGAATAAGGAATGGTCCTGAGAATCGAGATCTCTTGCATCCTCTTTTCTCTTCGCTCCCCCGCTTTCTCTTTGTTCCCCATATCTTTTTCGTGTCCTATCACCAATGCTTCGGTTATGGAGCTCGCTTACTGTTTGGAGAAACTTGGAGCCTCGGGGCGGTGGGCTTTTGAGGAATTTCCCATCCCGACGTTGGTAACGTCGGAGATCCTACCCTCTTAGCGCCCCAAAGGAGCAGCTTCCCCGGCCCCGGTTACAAGTCGCTTCGTGGGCTTCCATCATCCGTTTCCTTCAATTTCTTTTGTTAATCTTTTTTTTCTTGGGCCATAGTTTACATGGTTTTGTGGTTGAGAAAAATATAGCGAGGTCCAAAACAATGATAGCTGGGTTTTTAATAAAATTTTTATAAAATAAATTATAAATAATTATAATTATAAATTTATATTATAATTTAAGAATTATATTTAATACTTAAATAATTACGTGTAATTAAAACTCATGGATTTATGATTATTTGAATTAATAATTTTAATTTATTTTTTAAAATTTTTTATTGAATACCTAATTGTTATTAATTCAATATTTTAAGATTTAATTGTTATTTTTTTATTTTATTTACATACCCTTTTTCTGTCACGAAGGAATAACAACCTATACTGAGAGTACTGACAAACTTTTATAGGAAAATCACATCTAAGGATGTTGAAAAAAGTTATTAACATGCAAGGTTCAACAATAAATATTTAATGTAACCAATGAATATATTAGGTTGTGTTAGGAACTTTTCTTTTTATTTTATTTGCAAGAATTATTACACTTCCAAGAACATCTTTCATATTTTATTAGATTCACTTCTAATTTCTCATAGGTATAATTCTATAATTTTTAATTGAATGTGATTTTTGTTCAAATTTTCTCAAAAATATGGGTACAACATATAAAAAAATATTTGAATTATTTGATAAAATTTCATTCTATATTTTCTAATAACCAATTATAAGACATTCTTATGATTTTGTTTTTTGTCAACATTTTCCTCCCGAACATTACATAAAATGTTTCTTTCACATTGTAACATAAGTTATGACCTTAAAATTTATTACTTCTTAACAAAACATGTTAAATTAAAAACAAATTAATCGTTCATTCATTTTTTTTAAATTTTAGAAGTGAATATATACTTAAACAGATTTTCATTTTGTCTAACAAGATAACACTATTATTTAAATTGAAATTTTGTAAATATTATTATCTATACCACTTCTTAAAATTTTCTTATATGTTGGCAACTTTTTTTCTTGGTCCAGAGAAACTGACTCTCTACTGGAGATGCTCCGATGAAACTGAATATGAATTGATTTGTTTTCATTCAACTGAATCGCAGTGTCACATGGAGTTCTGGCCATTAGCGAATTAGTTAGTTTATATTATGCTCAAGACTATTGGAAGTAGCTCGTCTTTCTTTCGCACGTCAACTTGGTTATGGGGCATGATTAGAAATCACTTGGGCTCCGCCAGCGTAGGTTCGAATCCTGCCGCTCACGTTTTATCCCCTGTTTTCCCCTCATAGCAATTTGAAAGGGGGGTGGATTTTGCCGCCAGCAATGCAAGTTCGAGTCCAGTTTATATGCTTCCACCGCGAGGGGATTCATGACTGACGCAAAGGAGCTGGGTTACATGAATCCCTTAAGTGGGATAAAGCAATGCAAATTCATCAAACAACTCCATCAGCTTCATGCTCAATCCATTACCTCCGGTCTCCTTTTCCTTCATCCTTCACATTTTTTGGACACTATTCTTCATACTTTCGTTTCCATTCTCATACCCGCTAACTTAGCCAAATCTGCAAGTTTCAACCCATCGAGCTATGCACTCTCTGTTTTCCGTTCCATTCCCAACCCATCAACGTTCTCGTACAACAACCTCATTCGAGTCCACAGTCTTCTTTCCACCCCTCTCTGCGCCCTCCAAATCTTTACCCTGATGCGGCGTCTCTGTGTTCCCCCTAACTTCCACACCTTCCCATTTGTCCTCAAAGCCTGCGCTCAACTTCGTGTTCATGCTCTCTCACAATCCATTCATTCACAAGCTCTCAAGTTCGGGTTCGTGGCCCATTTGTTCGTGCTGAATTCTCTCGTTCATGTTTACTCTATCCACAACCGTATCGATGATGCCTACCAAGTGTTTGCGGAAAGTTCTGACAAGGATGTTGTCTCTTACAATGCCATGATTGATGGGTTTGTCAAGACTCAGCAGATTACGCGGGCACGTGAGATGTTTGACCGAATGCCAGTACGTGATGCTGTGTCTTGGGGCACAATGATTGCTGGTTATACCCAGGCTAATTTGTGCAATGATGCACTTGAACTCTTCAATAAGATCCTTGTTTTAGAACTTCGGCTAGACAACATCGCATTGGTCTCCGTTCTTTCTGCTTGTGCTCAGCTGGGGGAATTAGAACAGGGAAAAATTGTTCACGAGTACATTACCCGAAATGGTATTCGAGTTGATTCCTTTTTAACCACTGCTTTGGTGGATTTTTATGCCAAGTGTGGATGTCTTGAGGCCGCAAGGACTATATTCGATTCAAGTGCTAATAAAAATGTGTTTACGTGGAATGCAATGCTTGCCAGCCTTGCGATGCACGGGAAAGGTTCAATTTTACTGGATTACTTCTTTAGAATGATTGGAGCTGGAATTCAACCTGATGGAGTGAGCTTCCTAGCTGTTTTAATGGGATGCAGCCATGCAGGTCTGCTTCATGAAGCTCGGAAGCTCTTAAATGAAATGGAACCTGTATATGGGATTCCTCCGGAGCTCAGACATTATGGTTGTATGGTGGACATGTTAGGGCGGGCAGGTTTGATTGGAGAAGCAATGGAACTCATAAAAGGAATGCCATGCGGTGGGGATATTTTTGTGTGGGGAGGATTGCTCGGAGGATGTAGGACTCATGGGAACCTTGAGATTGCAAAGAAAGCAGCCCAACAAGTGATGGAGATAAAGCCAGAAGATGGCGGGGTTTATTCCATCATGGCCAATCTTTATGCCTACACAGGGCAGTGGGATGATGTAGTCAAGATTAGAAGATTGTTGAGTGCCAATAAGAGGGCCAAGAAAATCATTGCCTTTAGTTTGATTAGATTGAATGACGACCATGACCTTGAGTCTGAGAATGCGGACAGCATGACATCCTTAAACTGATGGTAGGATTGGATCTATCTACAATTGGATTTAGTTCAGTGAGGACAGTTGAGGCCTCAAAGGTAAGACAAAATACAAGTTTATAGCCCAGATTTTATTCATTCCCAGTGTGACTTTCACACACAGAGTTTGGTAACTGTATAGTCTTTTGGTTATGTGTGGTATGTGAAATGAACAGGGACTATTGTAATATTATTGCGGGCTTGTGAATGTTGTAACGTTCTAAAATTTTAATTTGAGAAACTAATTATTAATTAAAGGATAAATTAGTAATTTAGTGGATTGATTAGATAATCAGGATTTTGGATGGCAATTTGAGGTTTTGATTCTTTAGATTATTGAATGGATAGGATCAGGTAGAAAAAAGGTGTTTTGGAGTAAAGCATGTGAGCACGGTTGAATTTTCTTCACTATGTCACACATCATGGCACATGGCACAGAAAATGACTTCAAGGCTTGTAAATCAGCTCGTGGACTAGAGAATGAAAAAGGAAAAAGAGATACGGTGGAGAGAAGAAGATAAGGAGGTGAGCTAGGGCAACAAATTTTGGAAGCCTAGGAAATATTCTAGGCCTGTCCCTTGGTGGGTGAATTTCATACTACTCTCCGATTCTACACTAATTTCCCTTAGTTTGAGTTATGAAGAAATTGAATCAAAGAATTTTAAAGGTTATTTTCTTATCCTTTAGTAATATAAAGACTCTTCAGAGTTGAATTAAGATTTTGCAATTGGTTTAGAAGTTAGTGTCTAAGCTTTGAAGCTATAAGCATAATTTGTTCTGATTTAATAAGTTAGAATGGGTAAAAGTTTGATAAAAAGTGTGTTAAGGGCTATTGTCGGCTTCAAGAGGACTTAGTAGGATATTAAAAACCTAAGATGGGTAAATAAGTGTGTTTGATTGTAACAATTAGTACTTTTGGTCAAGTTAGTAATTGACTAATAATACTAATTTGTATACAATAGCATAGTTTATGCATTGTCTAGCGAGAAAGGAGTTCAAGAAAGAGTAGTGCCACGGGTAACCTTTCTAAATACTGAAGGGTTAAGGTAATCAGATAATTTATTATCCCTATTAATTAGTTTAATTGTTTATAAGTGAATGTTATAAGATAATTTATGATATTATAGTATGTTTTGGAAACTTGCATGTATTAGCATTCAAATGAGTTTGACTTTTACTTAAAAGTTTTGCTTATGGTTTAAAAAGGAAGATTTAATATGTAAGGGTATAATTGTGTGAAAATGTGTAAATGTGATTGTACGCATGTAAAAGTGACATGATCATATTAGATGGTAGGAGTTCACCCTAATTGTGTGGAGATGTGTGATAAAAATCCATGTAGTGGCTAGCACCATGAGACATCCAGTGTAGTATTATACTTGAGACTGTTATCATAAGACATCCGGGCAGTGTGGCAGCTCCTAGTGCCTGAAAGGATACTGTTAGGAGTTAACGACACCCCTATTGTGTGTTTTTGATAGGGGGAATTCATAGTTTAAAAGTAGGATAGAATGCATTTGGTCGGGTGTTTCTACTATTGAAGGTGTGGTTGATCCAATAAAGTCTACGAGTTTAATCGAGGAGTTTGGAGGTTTAGTGGATAAATGATCATGCAAGTGTGCTATTGTTTTTATGAAAATCATTATAAACATTTATATATGTGTTTATTTAGAGTTAACCTTGTTAATAGATGATTGGTGAATTATCTTGATTATTGAGATTTTTTTTAATTTCACCTATGATTATTAATATATATATATATATATATATATTTTACAGGATTTGACATTGGGAGTTCAAAAGGGAAAGAATCGGACTGAGCTTAATGGATTTCTTATTAGCTCACTAAGGTTAGTGTAATGAAATTGTTTGGGTAAATAATATTTTGTATATAAATTACCATAGGATCATATGCAAGCAAATGTGATATTGCGCTTGTGTGTATTTATGTCACCACCTAGCCTTGTAGAATGTGTATGTGTGTTTGAGGTGAATTTAGTAAATGAGGGCAAGGGTACTATTACAATAGCATATGTATGCATATGTCTAGCGTGAAAATGTTTAGAGTTTGGCCAAATGTATAAATGTGTGTGAAAGTGTGCTTTTGCCTTAGTGTGGGCTTAAGGACAGTTTAGTGACCAAATTTGTGTGTATATGTGATATTGTTTATATAATTGTTCAAATAGGTGTTAAATGTCCTATTAGATGTGGTCAAGACCTATAAATGGGTAATGACACTTGCTTTGAAATTGAAGTGTTCGAGTGAGTGAAAATGACTTAAAACAGTTGTTTTGCATTCATGTGCTCAATTTTCAAACGAAATATTAGATTTAAACGAAATCAATGTCATTAGCTAGACTTTAAAATAAGTTTTGTATGAGCATTTGAACCATTTCAATTGGATAACGATGCGCTTCAAGAGTTGATATCAAAGTGTTGTTTAACAACAAAATCTGGCACATGCGCCACGTCGCATGGTCTATATGCCGTGTCGCATGTCACAGAACAAGAAGTGGTGACTTTATACTGCATGTTGCAGCACATGGCTCAATTCAACCTAAGATTGGTTTTGCTTCTGTTTTCTTCGTGTGTTGTGCATGCCACTTCATGCTTCCACTAGGCACATATATGGATGTTTTGAACACTGAAAAATGGTTTTCCAAAGGATTTATGTGGGATCTCAATTGATGATGGCTTTTTAAATTTTAAAACCTAAGTATGATTTGGTATGCTAGTCCGTAATGTCAGAAGGGTATTACAAATGGAGTAATTGTATTTTTTTAAATGATGATAATGATAACAATAACATAATAAGCATGCAAAAAAAAAATAGTGCTATGATTTGTGTTTTCTCATTCGATTTTCCTTCATCACCGAAGGCCATGAATGATCTAATATTATCAAAACCAGATACTACTGAAAAGTGGAATTATGGATTACAGATGTTCTTCATTCATCTTGTTAACTGTGAAAGGAATTTGATATTATTGAGTGTATGTATGAAATTTTCTCAAATGCTACTAGGAATATCTAAATATGCCACCTGTTAAGGATATAGTCTAGCATATCCAAACCAAGCCCATCATAAGTTCAAGCCCAAGTATGAAGCCCAAAGATATTAGGTTTAGCACTAAAGAACATACTAGAATGAAGCATGCCATCTAGATATTTTATAGTGCTCTTTCATGATATTGACACATGTATATTAGTCATGTTTGTACCATATTGTGTAGTGCTCTGCCAGTGTGTATATTTGCATATAGTGTATCAATCATTTGCAACGTAACAATAGAGAACTTTTCCAACCAATATTTCTCTTGTCTCTTTGCTTTTCTCTGACTTGGTATTGGAGCCATGGCTTCAACTTCGACACAACTTTCCTCCTCCGCATCACCTTCAACCACCACTGTGCCTCCCTACACCCCTAGCACTGCATCTCTTACTGTTACTCTTCCCAAAATTCCTTCCCTTATGTTGTCAAGCTCTCAAGCTGTCTCTGTCAAGCTGGATAGAGACAACTATCTTCTTTGGCAAACCACCGTTCTTCCTATTATCCATGGTTACCATCTAGAAAGCCACATTTCAAGGGCAAAGTTGTGTCCCTCCGAATATATCTTTGAGAATGATGAACTCACAATTAATCCTACCTTTCAAGACTGGGATGCTAATGACCAGATGCTAATAGGATAGTTATACAACTCTGTGACTACTGAAATTACTGCTCAGCTCACTCACTGCAAGTCTGCCTTTGAGTTATGGCAAGCTGCCAAGAATCTTGCTGCTGTAAGTTTAGGCTCGTGTTTTGCTGCTCAAGTCAGAGTTGCATCAAACTCACAAGGGCTCTCTCAAAATGCATGAATATCTTTAAAGATGATGGTGATTTTTGATAACTTGCTTATGGCTGGCAATCCAATCTCTATTACTGATCTTGTTACTCAAGTTTTTGCAAGTCTCAATTATGATTATAATCCAGTTGTATGTCAACTTGTGGATAAGAAAGATATTACATGGGTAGAACTTCAAGCTACTTTGCTCACTTTTGAAAGTCGTCTTGAGCAACTAACTCATCTTACCTCTTCAATGAATGCTTTCACCATTACTAGTCCTTTTGCCAACTTTGTTCAAGGACGTGGAAACAATCGCGGTCCCTGGAGAGTTGGTTCAAACAGGAGCAGGGGAGGATGTTGAAGAGGAAGGATGCCAAGGAGCAATGGTGGTCACATTGAGTGCCAGTATTGTAGGTGCTTTGGACATTCTGCTATGGATTGCTACTACCTGACTCAAAATGTTCAGAGGCCTGCTTCAACTGGAAACACCAATCTGCGGGGAACTAATACTCCTCTCTACTACAATGCCTTAGTTGCAACACCTAAAGCTGTTCATGATCAAGCGTGGTACATGGAAAGTGGAGCCAATCATCATATCACTAACAATGTTCAAATTGTTGAGCAAACAGTAGGTTATCCAGGTAAAATTACAATATATGTTGGTAATGGACAATCTATCCCTATCCTGGGTAGTGCAGATAATAGCATGAAGAGTTTTAATGGTACAAAGGTTTTACTTAAGAATGTTCTATATGCTCCTCATATCAATAAAAATTTAATAAGTGTTTCAAAATTGCCTAATGATAATGTTGTACTTGTGATTTTTGATTCAAAGATGTGTTATGTGAAGGACAAGAGGACAGGAGCAATATTGCTGCAAGGAACACTTGATGAGGATGAAGGGCTCTATAGGATGGATACAAATAGAGGATCATGGACTGCTGTAGTTTATAAAGTTACCTTAGGATGTAGAATACAATCTTGTCATGAGCTTATGGAGTGGCATATTAAATTTGGCCATCCTCTATTTGCAATTTTGTCTAAAGCTTTACATGATTGTAATTTTGAAATCGGCAATAATACACCTCTATTTTGTGAAGCTTGCCAATATGGAAATTCCCACAAATTACTATTTAGTTATCTGATGCACGTGCTTCTTGTCCACTTGAAC